TTATCTCAGACTCACATCTGACAGGTATATTTGAACAGCTGTGTCTACACCGATACTCAAACTTTACTTTGAGTGTAAGATTAAAACTCCCAAAAATGATGAAAAAAAGACATATTTATGTGATTGACAGTTCTCAAACAAGTCGATAAAAATGATTCAAAATTGAGTTTCATCCTAAAATAAATAAATCACAATGGGTAGAAATTCGGTAGTTCGTTCCATGTTGAAAAACGTTTCTTAGTTTTTTTTTAATAAAATAAAATTAAAAAAAAACTTCTGTGGGTTTTATGCTGAAAAATGATTCATTGGAATAGAAATATTAAATCCAGTAATCTTTTGAAGTTGAGTTTATGAGAATAAAGTTTTGGCTAGACGTAATTTTCTGTCTGGTCTTTACATTTCTCTGCTTGATGAATCTGCTGTTTTTTATACTTTGTCTAGACTTTTAAAGCATTTCTTTAAAATGATAAAGTTCTATAAAGGTCGTTTGTAAAGATATTATACATGTATTTTGGTTTCTTTTAATTACTTTTTATTATTCATAATGTTTTAAAATTAGGGTTTAGTGTTGTCGATAAGATTACGAATTAAAAAAAGCAACAAAAAATGAAAAGAAAATAAAACATTCGGAATTATTTAAAAAAGAAACAGTAAAACAGTTCTAGAAAACTTTTTTTTAAAAATTGATGAATTATTGAAATTGCAATATTTAAAGAAAAGGATTTTGAAATATGAGGAGTGATATTTGTAATAAAAAAATTACCTAAATTCACACAACCCAGATAATTGTAGAAATTTTACGGTGAAACGGATAGAAAAATTCTAATTTGCATATTAAAGAATTTTTAACATTAGGACTGTTTTGAAATTATTAGGGTTTTGTGTTGTTGACTAGATTGTACATGGAGAGAAAAAAAATTACAGCTAGAAAAAAAATATAAAAAACAGTAGTTTTTAATTTAGAAAAAATATGAATTATTGATATTTAAATACTTAAAGAAAAAAGATTTAAAAAATGTAGAGTGATATTTGTATTAAAAAAATTATACAACTCAGATAATTTCAGAAACTTTACGGTGTACAATTCGAAAAATCCTGATTCGTGTACTAAAGAATTTTTAATTTTAATAATATTTAAAAATTTCGGTTTATTGTTAGGGACTAAATTATAAATGGAGAGAAAAGAAGAAAAAATTACAGAAAAGAAAACAATCAGAATTATTAAAAAAAACAATAAAATAGTTCCTGAATTTTTTATTTGGAGAAAATGATGAATTATTTAAGGAAAAAAGGTTTTAAAAAATGATGAGTGATATTTGTAAGAAAAATAATTAAACAAACCCACACAATACAGATAATAGCAAAAACTTTATGGTGGAACGGATCGAAAAACCTGATTCGAGTACTAAAACGATTCATAACCAGTCGATGACCTAATAAATAAAAGAATGGATCTTCAAAACTCCGGTCTTACAGAAAATTATAGATCTAAGTCGAAATTTTTTGTAAGTCAGGTCGAGAAAAGTCGTACCTGTAATCCACTGTGATGAATCCGAAATATTATCGAAACTGAATTCAAGTACTTGAAAATTTATTCCAGCAACATACTGTTCTTGCTAACATTACAACACAATTTGTTTATAGTCCTCTTGATGTTCGTGCGATGTTAATGCTACGAATAAATTCATTTAGATTTTATTAAAAGTTAAGTTTTTAATAATGCACTTTTCCTTTTTGTCTTTAGTGGATGTATTCAGTAAAAATTTTAATATAGAACGTGCAGCAAATTGGCAGAAAACTAAAAACAAGTTGACAAATTTTGGAGTTAAAATTGCTTTAAATATCAGTTTCCTATTATAAAAAAGAGATCAAACTAATCTGAACAGCAAAAATTTCTATTTAATCAAATCTTGGGTTTCAGTAACTATACTCGCTTTCTTATTAATAATAATAACAGTTATTAACAACAGTAATCAATTAACAAGTAATAAGAATTAATAAAATTGATATCTAAAAATCTTAACAAATGTACGTTTTTCTGTTCGCAATTCGCGATAGCAACGAAGTATAGGGGGCGTTGTTGTGTGAGGCGAGTTCCTGCGATTTCCATATGAACAGTCATTCAGGCTTATTAAACTTAAAGAAGAAAAATGTTTGATATTCCTTCTAATGCAAGCGAAAACAAAATGGTATCTCTTTTCTTTTGAGAAGGAACATCCAAAACACATCGAAAAATATTTGCAAATAAACAGGGAAAAATACGTATCTTCTTATTAAAGTTAAAACCAGAGAAATCGTTTTACTAAATTTAATTATGTAACATAAAAGGCCTATTTAAACTTTACATTCCATAGATTTTAAGAATCATATTGCTTCAAACATTAAAATAAGCAAAAAGTATACATAAGCTTATAATGTAATAAAATTTAATTTTATCAAAAAAGTTTTTTGATAAAAATTTTTATCAAAAAATTTTAATGTTCAATAAAAATCATTATTTAGAAACTAAGAAACGTAAAATAGAGAATGCTTACGAAAAAAAAAATTATTCTAAAATATTTTTAAATTAAAATAAAAAACATTCATGCCTATTTTTATTTATAATCAGACGTAGAAAACAATTCTATAGAAAATTATCATCAAATAAGAAAAAAAATTATTCACAAGCAAAATTTTTTATTATAAAAATCATGAAGCTTACCTGATTTATAAATCTGGAGAACTCCAAAATGATATGTTCTTCATTTGAAAACCTTATTTTCAAATAATATATACATAGATTATCCCTTCATTACTTTAAGATGACATACCACACAATAAAATTTTAAAATTGCAAGATCTCGATATGAATTTCAATATGTAACTTAAAAACAGAATAGCTGAATTCGAGTTGAAATTTATCATTCAAAATTAAAAAAATACTTAACAAGAAAACGATAAAAATTTATTAATAATCAACATGAATGATATTATTTCAAGTTATTCGAAAGATTCTTTATTGTTGTTCTCCGAATTATATAGATTCAGAAATATATACTATTCTTTAACTATTTCAGTTCTGCACGTTCTGAAACCACAGTTATTCATTGGAATAAACTAAGCAATGTTGACTTCGCTTTAATTTGTAATGAATTGAAGACAGAAAAAAATGTATTTTACCGTAATACACACATCTGTAACAGTATGCGATAACGAAATCGGAAGTTATTGGTTGCAAGCTTGTTAATCATAGAAAGGTAAAAATTATTGAGAAATTGTTCTTAAAATGTTAATAAAAATTCCAGATTCACCTGCCAAATTTCTAGTTAGGAAAGTAGTATGAAAGACGACAAAACTGATTTGAGTTCCTGATGAGAGTTACAGGTTCTTTTATTAACTCTTTTTGAACACCTTATTGTCTTTTTCGGCAATCAAACTGTTTCAGATTAAACCATTTTCGCCTAAAAAGTAGTAGTAAGATTCTGACAGTCATTTCCTTGTTTAAGTATTCATTTTTTATTCCAATGCATATAACTTTTTGATTTGATTTTTAATTTTAATTTTAAAATCAGAAATTAAGATCATTCGTTAAACTATGCACGGTATATTTTTTGGTATTTAGAATAACATAAAAAAAACTAGCTTAAATATTTAAGTTTCTTTAAAAATGAAATAAGTTTTTCCATTTAATAAATGCAAACTTTATATGAATAAAAATAACTTTTTAAGCGCTTATATTGGATTGTACTAACAATTAATACATATTAAATAAACCAAGACTTTTGACAGGAGAAGAAATTTTGATAAAGTAACAATTTCTGAAACAGAACTTAAAACGTTTAGAGCCTAGTGTAGTTTTGACTCTGATATGCTGAATTGTATTAATGATTTAGACGAATAAAATATATTCCAGTATTTTTGACAAGAGGTGAAATTTTGATAAAGTAACAATCTCTGAAGCAAAACTTAAAACGTTTAGAACACAGTATAAGACCAGCTTTTATTATGTTTTATAAACTGCTGCGTCAAGCACATCTGCTATAAATTATATCTAAAAAAATGTTAAAAGCATTTTTCTACAAAATTTATATTTAACTAGAGTTTTATTGTGTTATAAAGCTTATAAAAAGGAATATGAAATTATTTATTTTAACTATTTCTGCCCTTCATTCGGGAAAGTATACTGAAGAAAAAAAATATCTTTTGCTGAATACGGTTGGTAATTGTTTACTAAAAGAGAACAGTTCTATCACGATAGAGTTGATCAAACTTTTTAACTTCTTCCATTGGTTACACAGACTGTGTGAAGAGTTTTAAGTATTTAATAAAATATTCATTAACGACAGTATAAAATGCAATTTAATAATCAGGAAATACGAAAAAAATTTGCCATTGATTTTTTGTCTAACACGCTCTTATTTGACATGTATTCTAAATCAGTGGTCCCCAATCAGTCCGCGGATCGGTACCAGTCCGTGCATCTAATTATACCAGGTCACCCTAGGAACATGATATTATTTCCATTTTATTTACTGTGGTGTTCGTGTGGGAGTTTCTATGGACGAGAGATTAGCTGGGAGCTAAGATAAAATTTTATCTGAGATAAACTTAAAACAAAGATCCGTCTCCTAAACTTTCACCTGTATTTTGTTTTAAAGGCACGTTTAAATACAATTAAAATAAAATTATTAAATCAAAACTGTCCAGATCATAAACAATCAACGTCCTCCTCCCCCCTCTCCAAACACTTCCGCCGGCTGCGGAAAAATTATCAAACATTGACCGGTCCGCGGTGATAAAAAGGTTAGGGAGCTTGAAGGGTCTAAATAATAATAATAACATGATACACAAGAGATCAAGACACATGATCAAAGAAAATTTTAACATTTATTACACATTACTAAACTTTATCATTATGTTATGTCTTGTAGTAGCAGGTTTCAAAAATATAGCATTTAACACTAAAAATAAAAAAATCCAAAAATGTTTAATATATTATGATAATGCTGTAGTACTTTTGAGAAATATTGAGAAAAAATGATCAGAAGTTATAAAGTAGTTTCAATTTTTTTATGTTAATATTTATTCCTGAAACTTAAATGCCAACATTTTGTGCTTAGTTGAATTACTAATGCTTTTTCTAAGTGCTAAATTAAAAAGATGATAATAATAAATAAATTAAGTCTTAGTAATAAATTTTTAAACATTTAAATTATTTTTTACGAGTATGATTACAACAGTTGCTAAATATTAATTCTAGTAGGACTTCGATTATCCGAAATGATTGGGAATGATTAAATTTCAGATAATCGAAAGATTTGGAATATAAAAGTAACATTGTTTTTCCTATTATTTTTATTAATATAAATTAAAGCAGCCACGCAACAGTATCGCGTTATGGGTATGGAGGGGTCATGTTGGATCAGGCTCCACAATTTCGTGACCAATGGCAGAACTGTGGAAATATGGTTAGAGCTGCCCTTACTTCGCATTTGCTGGTACCCATTCATCTGATGTTGCGTGGGTATCAAGCCGCCACTGAAGATCAAAACCTAGTCACTAAGTATGGGTGTTCGGTGGCTTAACCATAGAGCCATTGCGGTTCAAAAGCAAAAGTAGCATAGTTAAATGAACTGGTTTGAAACATTTGCATTTTTTCAACCATATTACATACAAATTATGATTAACACTGCATGTTATATCAAAAAATAAAAAATAATACAAAATTAAAGATAAATATTGAGCATGATACAAGGAATTAAGAAAAGCACGAAGTTAAAGATAAACATTTCAAATCATACACATCCAAAGGAAATCATACCCTTATGTTATTCCTATATCTCCTCAGTGTAATTTGACAAAATTTCTCCTTTGAAATTTTTTATAAATATTTCTTGGTATATATGGTTGCTTTCCAAAAATATAACTTCAATATTTTAATATGTAAAAAAACCCACAAAAGACTGACGCGTTGAGGAAAATTATGTATGAACGCAAAGTGCCCACCTGCATGTCATCGCTGTCCTGACATCAAGAATGGTGTAAATTTTACAAGTCTCTTTTCAGGCCTGCAACGTTAGAAGGACACAGTTACGTTAATGTTGCTTTAAGTTCTCGTTTAAATGGAAGAAAATGAAGGATTAAATGCAGGAAAGGAAATTCTCAGCATTGTATCAGGATAAGGGTAGGTAGGATATTTGGTGCAATCGAAAAATCAAAGTTAACGAAATTTTTTTTTACATATTTGGCATTTTTGTATGATATGTTGCAATGTTTTCTAAAAAATAAAATTTTTTAATCAGTTTTCTGTAATTCCATTTTAAAGCGTTGATAGTATTGACAAGGAAAATAAAATGCCTGTCAAGTCGCTTTTAAAGCACTTAGGTTGTTTTTTCAATCTCATGGCAGAATACACTATAAAATCAAAATATAAACCATTATGCTGCTGTATTTTTGTCCAATCACTAACTAGTGTATCACTTCTAGAAATCGCTAATTAATGGGTGGACTTGAGTTCGTGTCATTAGTCTTTTGCTTAAATCATCTAGACTTATATCATCATGTGCTTATATCATATCCTCATTATATTTGTTTATATCATTATACTGTTTATTACATAGCCATCATTGCTGCAATAAAGCCATCATAATATTCACGAAGTTGAAGGGCAAGTTCTTTTCTTGTATCAGTGGAAAAAGTTTTACCAAGTTCCAATGCAAATGAATATTTGGCTTTTCCTTTAAGATATGCATAATCAATAGAAGTACCATCAGAGCCATCTATAAGAGATAAAAATGAGAGAGAAATACGAAAAAAAATATTAATTAACTTTTATTTACAAGTTTATTCAAAGACAGTCATAAATTTAATTCCAATATGCAAGAAAAAATAAGATGAAAATAGTCTAGAAAAGTGTAATTGAGTAAAATGGAGTAAGAAAATAAACAACATTCGGTAACTATTTCGAGGGTTAGTAACTGGTAAAATTGTATCAAAAATACCTTGGGGTAATTATACAGATTACTCTACTTGAGGTTACAGGAATACAACCATAGAGTTGAAATCTAACTTGCGAAAAGAGCTATTTTTATTTGTGAACTTTCGGAACTCCCAAGCTGTTCGTAAATACTGTAGTTTTAAATGCGTTTCGTCGCTAATTTTTTCTAACTTTTTTTATTGCTTTTTTACATAACTTTAAATCACATTTAGTTTCGTTGCACAAAAAATGTAAGATTTCGAGATTTAAAATTACGAATTTGGGTAGAAAAAAGTTTGAATTCGATCATTAGTTTGAGAATCGAATAAATTCAAACTGCTAAATTTATAGTAAAAAATACCATGTCTATCGTTCTTCAGACCACAGGAAAGCAATTGAAGGATTGAAAGTGAGGAGAGCGGCATGAATTAAGAGCACAACTCGATAGAAAGATAATCGATAAATCACTTGGTTGGGCTTGGCGTGTGAACGTTATAGCTATTAGGCTTGGTTTATTATCAATTTTCGGAACAGATTTAATTAGATACCTACAAGCGAAGTCACGCTTATGTGTTGAACATGATTGGCCGTTGAATCGTGACACAAGCAAACACCACTATCAAATTTCTAAATAAATATTAAGATTTATATCTGGCAAGATCTAATTTTTCTTGCTTTGTTTTACAATCATTTTTATCTATAATTTTTTTAAAACAATGGATGGAAATGGAAAACAATGGATAGAATAAAGAAAAAAAGTGAAAGAAAAATCGCGGATGAAGAATTTAAACTATATAACTATCAAAAAAATTTTAATAAGAAAAAAAAGCAAGCGTTAAGCTTGTGAATGGTAATGGTCCTTTTAGCACGCCAGATTTTAACTCTAAGAACGCATTTCTGTGGACTGCAGAGTGTTCAAAACGTATTCTTTTACTGAAAGTTTGCCAGTAAATAAGCCAGTAAATAATTTTCGTATTAATTATAGGATGTTGATTTTTTCTATTTCATGGTTCTCCTTGTACATTTCTCTAAATCTGTCCTTGTCTTAAGTTTACTATTTCTTTTAAAGAGTATAATATCATTATTTTTCAGCAGCAAAGCAAAATGAGATTCTAAGAAAAAAAGTGGAAAAAAAATTGTGTGAAGAAAGCACTTAAAATTGCAATAACTCTGGAAAAAGTTGCAATTTCCAGAAAAAAAATTTGTGTTGAGTTCATAAATAAATATTTTAAGAACATTAAATTTCAACTCTGCAGTTACATTTTCGTGATCTGCAGTGCAACCAATAAGCTGTTTTTATTCTAAACTCAAGTTTTACAGTTAATAATTCGAAAACTAACTATCGAAAGTAAATTTTTCTTATTCTACCTTACTTCTTGAACTCTTTCTTACATTTTTATGAATGTTTAAGTTTCTAAGTTAGCGTAGCAAAAGAAAAAAATATTGATTAGTTGAATCAGGGCTACCGATTTTTTAATGGTGTTTGTGACCTAAATTTTATTATTTGAAAAGTTATTTTAACCCTGAATTGTTTGGGCTCATAAAACTATTCAAAAATTAAAAAAACATTCATTGATTTTAACGGTTTTCATCGAAATGGAATAATCTTCTCAAAATGCAGATTTTTAAAAAAAACTTTAAATAATTGTTTTTATGTATTTGTCTGTTTTAATATCCGGATAATTATTTCCAGTTAGAGAGTGCGTATAGCGCAAAAATAAAGCTTTATCTTGAGTTGAGGCTAATTGTTGCACTTTTTTTTTGTTTTCCTTGACTTAATGGCTTAGTAAACCATATTTTAAAGAAGAAAGTGATTAATAAGAAACTGCTAAAGTTGAGGTAAAATTAATTCTAAATAAAGCTAAGAAAATCAATGAATTACTTACAAAGTATTTTACTTACACAGTATAATACTTACAGGTCCTATTTTCATTGAAGTATTTCTTAATTTTTTTACTCCCTCAACTCCGGCAAGTGCTACTCGCAGCTGGAAAAAAATATCACTTTAATCATTTTACGGATTATGTTTAATGACATTTAAAAGTTAAGAAAAATGCTGATAATGTATTTATATGGGGAGTCCAAAGACTCCATTCACAAATTTAGAGAAAAATAAGAACTAGATATCACAATTACATTGCAAAGAAATGGCTGTGCATAGTACCGTACGTAAGTTTTTAATAGAGACTGTTGCTTAAAATGGTCGGCCCGTCCCATAAAGGAGTAAAGCAATGGTAACTAATTTACCTTTAAGGCATTAGCTTTTATTTAAAAGTATTATATCTTGAAGCTTTTGAACTAAAGATACAGGATGTTCCGTAATAAATTCCCTTAACATATATTTTTGAAATCGTTGCCAAAAAATAAAAAGTTTGTACATTAAGAGTTGCAGATTAGTGTTAAAGCAAGAAAAGTTGCCAACTATGATGGAACTGAATGCGCTAAAATTGTCCATGGACGTAGAAAGGAGTTAAAAGGTCAATATCAGCAGCACTTTCAAGAGTCGTCTGGCAATTAAACAAGTTTAAATATCTTTAATCCCACCTTGGCGATTCGTCATATTTCATTAGCTTTTTTTATATAATTCTATTATTCTTCTTGCTTATCCCCCACAACAACAATGAGGCTGAAGCACTGTAAAAATTGAAGGTGTCATCGTGTTAAAAAAGTAGCTTGAGTATACATCTTCACACGCGTACGTGTGTATTTGTGAAAAAGTGTATAATTTAGTCAGAATTCATAAGGAAAGTGTATAATTCAGTTATTTCTAACTAATGATAGTTTCAAAGTTATTTTATAAATTAAATCATAAATAACTGAAGTCTCTAGAAAAAATACATTTGAGGATTATTAGTTGATAAATAATAAGGAAAAGCAGTTGATACAATTTATTATTAACCATATCAATAAATACGTCTAAAATCAACGGAATGAAACGTACACACACCTACGGGACTGCAAAGTAGCTATAAGTGGTTCAAAACTGCATAAAAGCATCTAAAACCGATTCAAAGAACTTTCGAGTGCAGTATTTTATACTTGAAAGATCGAGTAATCCTTATTCTACACAATGTCTAGTTAAGTCGTAAAAATCAATAATTTTATATACTATAACTGACTTGTTATTTCATGAAATACCATAATAAGTTATTTCATACCGTAATAATACAGTAATAAGTTCCGTACCATAATAAGTTATTTCATGAAATACCGAATTATTCTATGAAATAACGGATTTTGCATTTTAGCGCAAACATATACATAAGCAGTTCTAAGTAGGTACAAAATTTTAATGCATGTATTCAAAAGGCTGTAAATTTGAGGCTCAAAGGCAAAAAAGTTTAAAAGGAAACGTCAGGCTTCTTTAAGAAGGAGAAGAGTCTTTAGCTATGTACTTTCCAGATGAAGTTTGTGCCTTATTTATCTCGTTGAGGGAATCGAAAAGTAGATCGCTAAGAAAGGAGTGCAAAATATTTCTGAACTCAACGAGGGTCGAAGCAGAAAAGAAAAATTAAAATACATAAATGTGAACATTAGGACAGTGGATACTCTGTTAGTTCAAGAAATGTAAATGGAGCAATCACCTCATAATAAAATCACGTTCACTCTTAAAGTTTTGAATTTTCTTGAAAAAACAGGAGATGCTACAATTTAACCATTCAACAAAATTTTTGATTTAATGCTGGCACAGGGAGATAAGTATATATGAGTCGAATTATTTTCTAATCAGATATTCATTTTACGGAAGATGCGGAAATCCATTATTATAATTCCCAAAACAGTTTTCGACACGTGCGGAGTAAAATTTAAAGTGGAATTATCGTAAATTGAGTTAAACAAAAATGCTCTTATGCCGTAAATTAGAAATATTGGGATTTTAAAAACTATATGGAAATCCGTAGTAGTAACTTTCGGAAAAGCAAGCACACTTTTTAGATCGACCATGAATCACGAATCGGATTCATCAAAAGGCGAGTACTTTAAGGCGAGATTCGGCAGTCGCATGTTTTTTTATTGTATTAAAAATATTGGGATTCTTTAAAAAATGATATTACATTATATTATATTATATTATATTATATTATATTATATTATATTATATTATATTATCTAGCCATGAGAAGATGGTCATCTTGTCATTGTTAAGTAATATCTCCATTGATCGAAGTTACACGTCTAAAACATTGCAATAAATTCAACATCTTATTAAAAATAAAAAGCGGCAAGTGTTCCACACTTGATGATAAAGTAAATGCATTGTAAATTTAAAAATATTTCAGACTTATTATTTGTAGCAAAAACTGGGTGTAAATGTTGCAAAGAGCATAACATCACCTACAAGGTCATTGTAATCCTTTGGATAATCCTTTTTGTATGAAAACGGTGTCATCCACAAATTACCGAATGAATGAATGCTAAAGTAAGCGAGAAGATTTTTATGATGTTTGAGAAGGACTCTTCTAATGGCTTGATTTTCCTTTTCAGAAAAAGGCTCTGGTCCGCAATAAGTTAACGAACATGGATTTCTTTTTCCAGACTCTAAAATAAATTCCAAGTTTTATGAAACATTTAAATTTCAAACGAAACAGGTGATTATAATTTTTTACTTTTAAAAAATTTGAGCATAAATCTTTACTAAAAATCAATTCACTGGTCAATGTCAGTAATAAGACACTAAATTCGTTTCTTCAAAATGAATTTAGTGTTGAAATTATTATTTTTTATTTGTTCTTCTAATTAATTAATTCATAGATAAAAGAATGTTTTTATATATTGATACAAACTTTTTAAATATTGATAAGACAATTCATGAATGATCAATTCTGTCGTTTAAAAAAACACTAAAATCGTTTTTGCAAGATGATTTTAGTGTTAAGATTATTATAATTTTTATTTTTTTTAAATATTTATATATTGATTTTTTATCAATGTACTCTTAGACTTTTAAAAATACTTTACTTTTCCTGCTCTAATTATTTACAAAGTTACAGCAGTTTTTGTCCGAGCTGGATATACAAGTGATTTCATGTCTTTAAATGTGTTTTTATCCCAAAATCACATATTTTTTTCACATTTTACACCACGTTAAGCACGGTATACCATGTTGTTTTTCAAATAAATATCTAAAATGTTTCATAAGTGTTTATGAGTATAGCACACATGTTTTGAACTACAGACTAAGAGAAAAGAGTAGAATTTCATTTTTTATGCATGTTTTTTTTTTTTTTTTTTTTTTTTTTTTTTTTTTTTTTTTTTTTTTTTTGCAAAGAAAGTGAGGAAAATTTTATAACTTTTCTTATTTACCTATATTAGTCCTGAACTCAGCAGTATATACAATTGCTTTTAAAATAATTGTTCCGAACATAATTTGATAGGCTTCTTAATTAAATCCTCAAAAGTTTTATTTGTTTTAGGCAATAGAAATTTTTTTTACAATGTTTAGAGCAGGTATGAGCAAACTTTTTTGGTCGAGGGCAAACCATCGAGAAAAAAAAGTTTGGTGGGCCGCGTAAAAACTTCTAAAATGAAAAAACGATATAGAAGTTTAAATTTAAATATTTAATGAGATGAATGAAATTGCAATTTCCTTTTTAAATCTTCATCTTGACTGAGGTTCGAAGTGAGATGTGCTTATTCTAAGGAACAAGGCTAAATGCTTGTCTATTAGTCTACTTCTGAAATGATTTTTTCTAAGGTTCATTGCTGAAAACACTTGTTCACATAAGTAAGATGAAGCAAATATAGCACTGATTTTCTGGGCATGAGATATTAAATTGTGGAAACTAGCATTTGGTAATGATTTGCAAAACTCAAACTTTGGCATGTTTAGAAACAACAACTATTCCCATCAATTCCACCAATAGAGAAAGTAAAAACGTCATCAGTACTTTGTTAAAAAAGAAAGAACAAGAATAGCTTTAAACAAAGTAGGTAAATTAATGGATGTATAATGTATCTTGTTTATATTCGCCACGGATCGGCAAGTTAAAATTATATCCGCGGGCCGGATAAAACCTTCCGACGGGCCACAGTAGAGCCCCGGGCCGTAGTTTGCCCATCTCTGGTTTAGAGTATATGCAAAAAAATGCCTTATTTATACCTAAAAATGGCCATATAAAAGCAAAATAATAATAAAGATGATTTTTTTTGCACATAATAAAGAAATAAACTAGTTTTGAAAATTATGTGTTAATATTTGAAAAAAAAGCTGTCATAACTAGTCGGATACCTTAAAGCAGGGGTTATAATTTCTCAATACTTTATTGATTCTGGCATTTCTGTTCTCTTTGGAGAGTTCTTAATATGTGGTATATAATATACAAATGAGGTACAGATATGGTACAAAAGTGGTAAATGTGGTATAAATATGGTAGTCTATAATGGATTTTTGGAAATCATTCCATACTTCAAATATAAAATCGAATAATTTTTATAATTATTTTTCTAGTACAAATGGTTGTAAATCTATTTTAATTTAATTTCTACATCTTGCACCCTGATGTTCCGGTTGTTCCTCTCTGAAATCTGTTTAATTTGTTTTTTTTCTTTCTTATTATCATGTTGAAGCGTGTTCCTCTTCTCTACTGGTTAAACCATTTTGCATGCGTTTGTCTCGTTACTTTTCTACTGTCATTTCCAGTTTAGACACTGAGGAAGGTTGTTGTTTATAGAATCGAAACTACAGTATGTTCATTTCCGAATCTTTATTTGTGCTTTATTTGCGTTATTTTGCTTTATTCAAACGTACCACAAATAGGGCCATGATATTTTGGTCCCTTTGCCGCTTAGGTCTCTTCTCGATCAATCCCGTTTCGTCGATTTAGTTCGATTCGTCGAATTCGATATAAACATGCCAAACCATTTCTTACTTTTTTGTTACAGTTGTTATATTTCAATGGCCCTAAATATGAGTTTTCTAGTTCATTAAAGTATTTATTTATTATTTCCAGCGACAGAAAACCAATAAACTTGAATGGTTATTAAGTATTTGAAAATATTAATTGTGAAATTAAACGTCCACATTATTAAGAATATTTATGAGGGATTGCTGACAATTTTCAGATGAACTTTTTTTTCGAAAAACTTTTTTAAGTCTCAGTGATTATGACTATGACTTTCTTCACATTGGATTCCAATTAACTGCGCAATTATTTATATTATTATGTAATAATTTATTATGATTGTTAGGTTCTGTGAACAAATAAATAATCGCTGTGTTAGCTACTTCTACTTCATGCAATATGGAAATTCCTTTCAAATAATTCCTACTTCGAAAAAAAAGATATGCTTCAAAAGAAGCTTAATATTAGCAGCCAAAAAATAATGAAACAGAAATAAGAATCATAACAAGGAATGTTATTCATATTTGGTAATTTATTTTTTAATTTCGAAATCCAAAAGCGAAAAACAGATATGGGAAGGGAAGGAATATTAACAGGAATGAAGTGGAATACGGTGGGACCGAAACGTCCTGCTTCGCTCAAAATATACCTTACCCTCATTTCAACCAGATTTCTATTTAAAAGTCTTTATATAACAATATTGTGATGATACTATCACAATACACCCAAATTTTAACATTTTAACTTTCGTCTAAATAATGTTACTTTTGTAACGGTGCCTTGCGCCTAGTTTGTTTTAACTGCGACCGTGAGCTTAGCTAAGCCGGTTGATCGGATGGACGCAATCATTCGATTTGTGTTGGTGCTCTGAGTAGGTGGGCGAGAACATTCAAGATTTGATTTCCTTCTCTGCATGCTCAAGAGATAAGTTTATTCTCTATGTCTATATTATTATTATTCTGGTTTTACTGAAATTGCGCATTCGGTCATTCGAATAGGTTTTACATTTTTGTACAATGATTTTTCGAAAAACTGACAGTTGAGCATGCAGAGAAGGAGACACGTGCTCTTCAAGGCTATAAAACAAAATTATGGATCAGTTCCAGTGTTTTTATTTTCTGAGGTATAGTGCCTTTTATTTTTTGATGTTGATTTGAAATAAAAGACAAGTGATCTTGAAGATATTAGTGTCATCCTTTTGATTTTGATTGACTAGTGAACTTGGGTTAGCCCCACTATACACCACGTGCCTGAGGCAGCACCCCATCACAAATATTACTTTTTTTTAATTCAAAAATGTTAATATGAGCTGTTAGAAGACCCACCTTGTGATTATATGAAACTAAATAAAACGGAGCAAGTATTAATTAATAATAATAATCATAATTAGAATTTAGAAACAGGAGTTACATACTACAAAAATCTGTATCAAAATTTCTATTGATATCTACTCCTACACATATTTTTCCTTCAAATTCTTGCATTGGTCGTCGATTTTTCCTCCACATTCTATCCTAAAAATACGACATATGTGAATTAAACTTATTTGCCCTAATAAAGTAAAATTAAACTTATATATACTTACTAAAATATGAAAATTAACTCATGAAGGAATTTTGAAATGAGACATGTACGCTTGCAATAATAAACTCTCACTATTGATGATTCAACAATCATTGAGTTAATTTTGAGAATCATTACTTCACACAATCACGTGATACGTGACGAAACGCAAACTCTCAAATACATTATGAAAATGTTATTCCCCTTCCTCATCGTAGTGCTAATTGGGAGATCGTTAACTAGAATTACTGAAGTAGGATGGAGGCTAGACAATCGAAAATAAAGTGACGAAAGAAGCCAACCGGCTGTATGGCGGTCAAGGAAGTGGTCTCGTACAGGAAGATCCCGGATGTGAATCTCACTTCGGGCACGGGTGCAATTTATCTCTTTGCTCTGTCTCTCTTGTGTGGTTAAGGCGATATTGATGCAGCTACATGGTGGCCATGATAAAGTGATTATTAGAACATTAATGAATAACAGTTTTTTTTAAACCAAAATAGAATGACGAAATATTCTTTAATTTTGACAAAATTCTTTTTCTTGAAGAAGTGACAATAGTTATTTCATCACTTTGACGAAAAATTCGCTCGGGGCGGAAATAGTTTCGTCAAAACAAAAACGAAGAATGTTTCATAAAATTTCAGTAATATTTTTTTCAGTGTACATAAGTGTGTAATGTACCGAGGTTTGATCCCCAGTGGCAGCTTAAAATCCACCCAGCTTCAAATCGATGAGTACCAGTTTGTCTGGAAAATTAAAAAGGTTGGTGCGCAATATTTACCATATTGCCATTATCATGACCGTTGGTCAGGAAATTCTGAAGCCTTAGCCACCATGATCCTTTACTCCACAACGAGCTGTTTTCTCAGGTTTTAGTTTTTTGTCCTTCTCCCCATGCACCATAGACCTTAGTTGTAACAAACGTTAATGGAAAAAATTCGAAAATTTGTTACATTATATTTTATTATCAAGAATATTTCACTGACCGCGTTTTTTTCTCTTTCATAAAGTAAACTCATTTAAAAAGAGCGTCCTTTTCTTGCGACGTTTTTTTCCCCAACACTGTCAGAAACTTCTCTGTAAAAATGGTTAAATGGAAATTTATTTAATCGCTATTTTGCCATATTTAACCAAAACAATCAAATAACCATAAAAAGATGATATTCAAACTATTAAATCGGTGAAGAAAAATTTGTGGATTGTTTTTATTGAATTCGGTTTGAAAACCAGAATTCTGTCCTCTTCAACTAAGCCAACCTTATGAAGCGATTTTGTTCCGTGCATTTGGTTACAGATTGTAGCTAACAGATCAATCTCATGACCGGCTGAACTGGGGTTTGAATCCCAGCGTTGACAAAGCATTCTTTCTCACGTTCCTCCAATACAAGAAGGGATTATAGGGTCCTGAATTCTTCAATTGGCGACCCTAGACAATTAGAATACGACTATTGTTCACGCATAAATGGCGCAGCGCCAAAAGAGCTCTAATGGCAGTCTAAGCTTTATTGTCATGGTTTAGAAACTATGCTAGTTGTAAATGGTTACAATACGGTATAGTTTTCTGTTCACGGGTTTTAAGCTGTACCAGTTGTAAACGGTTTCAGAACCGTAAAGGTAAATAAATGTTTTCAATCATAAACTTTATGGTCAACCTGATTGATAGACTGCTGCTGGTTGTTTTGATGTAACTTCAGAATGTAAATTATGACAATGAAGAAAAGAAAAAAGTCGTAGCACAAGTGTTTTATTACTAAGAATTATTTTTTGAAGACACAAATTATTTTCGTTATTTCCACCTACTGAAATGTAGGAATTATACTAAGAATTCTATTCTGATTTTGAACCAAAATCGAGCGTATATATATTTACTGCCACTTTTTTTCATAAAGTCATTAGTAGTCGAGTATTAATGGGTTATGCTCTACAATCACATGTGTTTTTTTGATTATTTTGATAACACAATGTATATTTGCAGCCACTTTTTTCATATAGGCATTTGTAGTCAAGTATTAAAGGGCTATTTCCGACTACCAAATGTTTTTTAAGATTATTTCGATAACATAAGTAAAAAATAATTCTATTGAATGTTTTGCTTCAAAATTAACGTTCAAGACACCCAAGAAAAATTTACAGAATATTTTCTGTACAACAAAATGTTTTAATATCACTTTTCTGCTTCCACTAAAAAAATAAATAAAAAACTATGTAATAAAGTACACTTTAGCATTTATACTAAATGTTCCTATTTTTATAAAGAAAATAAAAAAAAGATGATCAATATTGTAATAACTTAAATGATATATTCATATATTCGTTTCGGAATATTCTAAATATTAACCAGAAAAAAAAGCACGATGGGTTGTATTGCATACAAAACATATTCACTCTAAAGCTCTTATTTACTCACTGATAAAAGAAGTATAGTGGAAAATACCAGAATATGTTACAATTTACCGTATTTTTGTAAATCTGTATTTTTGGAACACCAAAAAGCTCGGTAATTTTTTACCGAAGTACTTTGGCAAGAAAAACAATAAAATATATTTTTTCATATTGTGAGATAATATTTACTAAACGTTGTAAATTATTGGAAAATTTAATCATAATACTTTAATGCATAGTATAAAAATCATTTATTCAGTTAAATTTACTTCAGAGATTTTTTTAGCTGAATGCTTGGAAATAAGAACTATAGTTTTAGAAACAAGGAATTTCTGGTAAATCGTTACCATATGAAAGAAAATATTTCAACATTAATGCTTTAAATACCCTATATTTTAGTTTTATTAATCATAATTATGGCTTTTTATATCAGAAATGTCATTAGCATACACTAAGGTAATTTTAGCAGAGTTTATTTTTCCTTCATGCATGGTCGAAAAATGCTAAAACTAAATTTTTTTCATCTTACTTGTTGTATAGCTAATAAATAACAAAATGTTGTGGTTTGTGGAATTTTAATATTTCTTTTTCCAGCATGAAGTACTTACATGAGTGAAAGAATATACGTATCCATCTGGATTTACAACCGGCAAGAAAATCAAGTGATATTTTTCTAGCAGCTGGCTTTGAATTGTTCTATTACTTCCTCCATAAATCATCTGAAATTGCACGAAATAAAAAGAAATTAGAATTCCTTCATACAAAATTATAACCGTAAAAGATTTTTGATAGAAACTCAGAAATTTAGCATAAATAACAATACCATTTTCATTACATATATGCATGTCTCGATAGGCGTCCATTCTCTAGCATGTACACCGCATTCGAATACAATCACTTTTTTCTTCAATTCAGATTCTTTAGTTACCTAAAAAAATATGTGAGAGTAAGGAACTTGGAATTTGTTAAAATAAGAATTTGTTAAAATAATAATTTTAAAAAAAACTAAACTCTTACATGAACAGCAATAATTTTTCTGTCCTCATAAGTTCTACCAATGATATTCATTTTTGCCAATGATTTGTATTTGTCGGTTACTGTTCTTAGATATTCCACAATCTAGAAAATAATGAAATAATTATTTGATTGGCATTTTATGAGCATTTTTGTTCCACTATTCCCCATTTTATATACTTCAGTAATGCATTATTTTTCTCTTTTGCTTCATGTTAATTTGGAAAAGTTGGAGAAAAAGTCTCATTTTTCACTCTTTTTGTACTTTTCTTCTTTACCATTATACTTGATAACATTATAAGTGACTCTAGTGGATTATACGTTTAAGTTAAAGTTATAGTTTATAGTTAAAATAACCACGGGGCACGGAGATAAAAAACTATTGCTTCGCCTTAATCTCGCAAGCAAAGTACTAGTATTAGTACTTCATTTACGTTCTATTAAACCTGCTCAGTGGGCTACGGTTTGGAAAACATTCTTGAGGATGATCTGAAATCGTATTATCACAATTTTGAGCCTCTACAGAGGAAATGGATCCCAATCTTAGGTAAAACAGTTTAACGAAGAAAAAAAAATCGCACAAATAAGCAAAATAAGAGTAGAGAAAATACTGGTTTTATTTCTTAACTTAATTCAGCTTTTTTTGTTTTAGGTAATTTCGTAAAAATGTTAGAAAAACACAAAAGATAAATGCAATAGAGAAATGTTTGTAGAGTACTCATAAATAAATGACTGACGGAATTAAATAAATAACTCCTTGAAACTTAAGTGCTAAGATATTATATGATTAAAAACTTTATTCGTTTGAAAAAATCACAAAGTGAAAAGAATAATTGACATGTTTCAAATGTTAAAAAAAATAGGCATAAATGTGACTTGCCAGACGTGAATGTGAGGAAACAAAAGTGATTTGAAATCAAAACGTAAAATAAAATAAAAGTAAAAGAAAACCTAAATAGAAAAAAATCACAGTAACCGCAAAAGAAACAAAGATAAGCAAACAGAGCAAGAAAAATCAAAGTGGCGCAGAGGAGTGGCCTGTTAACAAAATTAAATTCAAGTTTTTTAGCTATCCTATTGTTTTGATAATCGCCGAGGAATTTACTACATTCTTCGTCAGTGCAATCTCTGCTACAACAGACACACTGAACGCATTTTTAAATGTAGACTTACGGAAAACGATACGTCCGTTATCAAGAATGTGGGAAATCATGAACTGCGGCACATTATTGGAATCTTGGGCATGAATTCAATTTCGACAGTGCCATAATTATTCCCCCTCCCAGTCACATCAGTTCGTCTTGATGCCTTGGAATCTTGTTTTATTCATATAAATGCTGATTTCCTTGATAATGACTGTAGCTCCTCGCCACCTCTCCATAGCGAATGGATATGCGTTTTACCCGGATTTGCCAATTCCAGCAATTGTAGCTTTTCTAGTTCTATTTTTCTCTCTCTTAGATGCTTCGGTTTTTTTTCCAATTTTGTTTTCTAATCTATGTATTTTCCATTTGCAACTTAACGTTTTTATTTCAAATCATTTTCGTTTCTTCGCAATCTCGCCTGACAAGTCCTGAAAATAGGCACCGATTTTTTGAGCCCCTGAAACATGTCGACCATTTTTTGAAATTTGTAATTTTTTGAAATTAATAAAAAACCCTGTAACAAATAATACCGTAGAGTAACTGTTGTGTTTTAGAAAGTCGTATCCAAATTCATCGTATTCACTTCCTTCGCTCTTCCTTTCTTCTCGTACGAGACTGAAATTAGACAAAACTTATTGTTAATAGTTTTAGCAGATAAACCCTTGAAGATTGAAAGACATACAGTGCGCAAAATAAAAAAAAATTGATCACCCTTAATAACTTTTGATCTAATGATCAGATTTTTACGTTCCAGCACTCAATTTTAATGGCTCATTAGGGTGACTTCAAATATGCTAATTAATTTATTCTGAAGTTATTTTAAGTTACGAAATGGACACAAAAACGTTCTTCTTCTGAATAAACATTATATTTGTTCGATTGATTCGGATTTCTGACCCCCAAAATTTAGGGGGGTAGTCGCAATCTGGGAAATATAGTATCGATAATTTGGATTGGAGAGCGATCCATAGTTTGGACCCCTTAATGGTAATTTTACTTTGTGCGCATTTCGCAATATCTTATGAATTTTTCACGCCAATTTAAAAAATTTTGCACACAATTACAAGATTACTTCATCCAAAGATAATACATAACAAAATACAACTTTTAGTAAATATTTATAATTTTTTATTATTTTATTTTAAAATTGTTTATTTTTAAAACGTTTTAACTTTCAGGTATAAATTTTTTTACACCATTNGAACCCGACACTCGAAATTTTTGCTCTGTTACAATCGTACCCTGTTACAATTGATCCCACTCTCCCCTATCGATAATTTGGATTGGAGAGCGATCCAAAGTTTGGACCCTTTAATGGTAATTTTACTTTGTGCGCATTTCGCAATATCTCGTGAATTTTTTGCGCCAATTTCCAAACTTTTGCACACAATCACAAAATTCCTTCATTCAAAGATAATTCATAACAAAATACAACTTTTAGTAAATATTTATTATTTTTTATAATTTTATTTTGAAATTGTTTATTTTTAAAACGTTTTAACTTTCAGGTATAAATTTTTTTACACCATTTTAAAGAATGCAAACTTACATGACAATTTTGTCATGCAAATTTACATTCTTGAAAGTGGTGAAAAAAATTGTATCAAAACTTTTTTTTTACTACTCTTTTAAATAAAATAATGAAAATATAAGAGTATTTATTAAAAGCTAACTTTTTCATGGAATTATGTTTGGATAAACAAATTTTATAATAGTGTAGAAAATTTTTTTCGATTCGCTTAAAGCGTTCTTGAAATATGACGGGTCTGTAATATTGAAATCTTACTATTACATTTTTAAATCCTCTCCGACTAGCTAAAATGCTCCATGCCGAAAGACAATACAAGCTTAAATCATTTCATGATGAATGCAAGCAGCATTTTTGCCAATTTATCGCATAATTGAGTATCTAGAATACTTTAAGTCCAACTAGAGCTCTGATATGGATGGCTATGCAAGTTCACATCGTTTCACGACTGTTCCTTAAAGATTTTATAGCGATATTATTGTCAAAAGCAATTTATCACCATTTAAATCTATGACCTCTTTAAAATTAGCTAGAACTCTACAAATTTTAATTCAATTTTATATCGGATAACATTACAGGATTAAATAATTTTCTAATCGTTAAAAACAGAATTCATCGTCATTTTAAGAAAATATTGATTTAATCGTCAATCGAAATTCCGAACATTTAATTCTAGCTAGAGTACTTAAAATACAAATGCAAGAGCTTTGCTTTAGATGACTATACAAGTTCTCATTTTTTGAGAATTATATACAGAATTTATCACAATACTTTCTTCGATAGGAATACATTGTCTCACTAAGACTATGACCACTTTAAAATTAGCTAAAACTCAACAATTTTAGTCGAAACTCAGTGTTGGAATGATCCTACAAATTTAAATTGTTTTTCTTATTGCTAAAAACAGAATTTATCGCCATACTATTGCGAATTAAAATTTATCGCGTGTTGAAATTGCCCCTAATTTCACTATTTAAATTATAACTGCAGCCTGAATTAAAATTATAACTGTGCTCCTTTCTGCTCGACGAAAATGTGAGATTCAACGATTTATTTACATAAGCAAGCCTGATTTATCATCATATTATCGCCAAAAGGAAATTAAAATCCATAAAAATTTCGACTATTTTTCGACTATTCAAAATTATAAAATTTCACCTCGAGTTCTGCGTCTGTTGGCAATAAAAATTACAATGGTTTCCGTACTAAAAAGAATTTATAGCTAAATGGAATTTATTGTCAATCACCATTTCAAGAGTTTCCTGAGTAGTGAGCCCAATTTTTAATTGCTGCTATGTTCATAGTGACGTACAAATTACATTTGTTTCTAATTGCTACAAGAATAATTTATGTAACCAAAATTTTGACGACTTTCTGACTAGCTACTTTGCTTACATTTTAACTAGAAATCTGGGCCTGATGCCAATACTAATTAGAGTTTTGACGCAACTTGTTTATAAGTACATAAATAAATTGTATGTGCATGCGTATATTTTAAGTACACATACATGCATTGATTATAAATACAATGTATCTAAATGTGTTTGTACAATGAACGTACATACTTATATTTCGTTTACCTGCATTTGCATATACATTCTATGTTCGTGGAATGTATTATGCGTGCAGACATATATTTTATTTGCTTACGTAAACATCTTGTTGCAAATATTAACATACATACAAAATTTGCATTGTACACTGCGCAAAATAAAAGACGAATCACCATGAATAACCTTTGATGTAATGATCGGATCTTCACGTTTTAGGACTAATTCAATGATTTTAGTTTGTTGACCTCAAATATGCTAATTAAGTAGCTCAGTTATCAGGCAAAAAACGTATTTTCTCTGAATAAACATATCTTTGTTTCAACAGAATCGGATTTCTGACCACTAAGGATAGGGGTGGCGCAATCTGGGAAATGTGATCCCCATAGATTGTTCAGGAAAGCAATTCAAAGTTTTGACTCTTCATTGGTAATCTTACTTTTTGCATATTTCGCCATATCTCGGAAACTTTTTTTAAGCGAATTAAAAATTTTGCACACAATTATAAAATTCACTTATCCAAAGGTAATTAATTCCGTGCAGAAAATAACTATTAGTAAATATTTATTATTATTTTTTTACTATTTTTAATAATGGCAAAAAAATGATGAATTTTTATGAACACAAATTTTTGATTTATTTTAAAGTGTATTATTTTACATGGCAATATATCAATTTTAAGCGAAATCGTTTCAATAGTTGCTGAGAAATCGAATTTTAAGGAAGTAGCATGTGTACAGATGATATTTTAAGTAATGAAATCAGACCGAGGACTGTTTTCTCTATGTATAAACATAAATTTTTCCAACAGATTATGATAGACTCCTAGAA